TCACGACCCGCTCCCCGTACCTAAGGGTTAAGCATCGTGATGGCCAGTAACCGAGGTTACCTGCGGCCAAATCTTTAAACAAATTAATAAACGTAAGCGAAAGAAATATTTAAATAAGGGTACTAAAATAATCATTGGAGTTTCTATTTTTATTACAAAATTTATTGACAAAAAAGACCGATATTTACATAAAAAAATACATCAATAAAAGTGCTTTGTGCCTATCCCACACGCTGGTCTTGACATGCCACTTGAAAGTGGTAAAAAACTATAAGCTCATGGCAGAGTGAGAAATATTATACTAAGAGTATAAGGTATAAAATTCACCATGGATAATTAGTTGGGCCAAAAAGAGCTTGATACATAACATACATAATACGAAAATCACTATACAACCATAACCACGGTACATCACTAAGTGCCAAGCACTACACTGGTCAATGGATCCACGACAAACACTGGACCACAAAGTGGTCAATCACTAAGCCAATGGTTATTTAAGTCCCCAAGGCATGGGACACACTAGCCAATGGTTATTTAAGTCCCCCAAGGCATAGGACTCCCGTGGTAGTACTCACAAAACATATTTTCATATAAGGTCATAGCCAAATATTCTTTAAAAGTAAAACAAACATATCCATAGGTTTCCTTTTAAGCAAATAGGGTTCATAAAATAATCCACGGAACTGAAACCTTTACAAAACATAACTTTTATAAATATACTAATAAAACATAACTTGTATAAAATAGATTTTGATAAGTCAAAATATAAGTAAAATACACCTTGATAACTCAAAGTATAATATAACTCACCTTAACTTTAATACCTTACTATTTGTTTCCACTATCAAAGATCTTCTTAGCTTCCACTACTTTTCCTTTCCTTTCTCTTCCTTTATTTTCCTCTCTTCTTTCTTTCTTTTCTTTCCTTCCTTTCTTTTTTCTTTTCTTTCTTTCCTCTCACAGAGTCAACTTTCTCCCTATTAATAAAGGTTGAATTCGTGAGGCCCAAGCCAAACTGCCACGCGTCCCTTCCTACTAATCTCCATTAATACAACCTTATCCAAACTTAACTTAATTATTATTTATACTTTGACCCCTAAATTTTTAATAATTATATTATTTTACAAAATTACGCATAATAATATATAATAAATTATATATTTTCTGAACTGAGATTAAATAATATTAGTATAAATTTTACAGAATAATTAAAAATTTGAGTTGTTACATGGGTGCTGCAAATAACTGATGAATGTAAAAGATGTATGGTATGGTGCATCCACATGTGGGTTGGATAGGTGCAATAATTACACTTATTGTTAAGCAGTGGAAAATACTACTACACACCCATCTCATTATTTTTGGTTACTTGTCCTAAATTCAGTGCATATTCTTCTCGTTATTGTCGTAATAATAATGTAAAAAGCTGTAATAATCCAATTCATTAACTCTGCACTTGTGGTAAGGTAAGACTACATGCCTGATTTTATATTTGCAAAAGTGGTAAACTGGACGAGTGATTGTAGAAAATAAACTACACACGAACATTGTGTTAAACTAAATGAGTGATTGCATAATGTACAAGTTGTCATCCTTGAATTCATTAAACAATGCATTGCGGTAAACTGGATGCCATTTTTGGAGTAGTTCTGGCTCACTTTCATATTTGATGTGGTATAGCTTGTTAGTTTGAATTCTCTAGTATCCATGAATTTTTGTTGTGATTGTTTCAAAAAACTTTGAATTTTTGAAAATTTGGGATGGGTTCGGCGGATTTGACGGTGATGAAGCAAAGCACGGTGAGTAATGGGGTGGGCTCGGATTAGGAAGGGCCAGTGAATAAAGGTAAGTTTTTGATGTTGTTGATTAGGGCATTTATTGATTGTATATTCATTTTTCTCTCACTACATCTAACAACACATATACAGACATATTCTGTTTTAGAGAGAGAAAATGTGTATGTGAGAGAGAGAGAGAGTGTGTGTGAATTGTGTGTGAGTTTTATATAAGAGACAGATGGGTAGGCAGTTCAGTGTTACTTGAGACTTTGAAACGCTTTGAGAGAGAGAGAGAGAGAGAGAGAGAGAGAGAAGTGAGCCTGGTTAAAATAAAAAAAAAAAGAGAGAAAAGAAGTGAGCCTGGTTAAAAAAAAAAAAGAAAAAAAAAAGAGGGAAAGAAGAAAGTGAGACTGTCTCAACAGAGTCTCGAGAGAGAGAAAGAGAGAGTCTTTGTGTAAGGAGAATGTATAGTTTCTTCATCTTTACCCATTATTTGTTTTTCAGAAATGAAGAATCAGTATGTTGATTTTATTGAAATGAAAATTTTGTTATGTGTCTACCATGTTTTTCAAATGAACTTTTTTTGTTTGATCAGAGAAAGGTTTATTTCATGCATAATTCATGAGCACAGATTCTGAATTTAAAGAATGCTTGAAAGATCGTATCACACTAAAGAAGCACACACACACACATATATATATATGCAGAGATGCATATAATGAAAACATGGCTGATCATCCCATAGATGGTTGAAAGATCAAATTATGTGTATATAAAGCAAAGGCTCAAGTTAGTGTCTTGAAACCTTTGTTGGGCCAGTGAATAAAGGTAAGTTTTTGATGTTGTTGATTAGGGCATTTATTGATTATAGTGGGCATCTTCATTGAGTTGATAGCAAATAACATGCATGGGAAGGAAAAGAAATGAATTTCATTTGTCAAGGGATTTCTACGTACCTCTTCTTTGTTAAATCTCTTACTATGAATGGATTCCATATCTACCATAATTTTATTTTATTTTTTGAAACTACGATAAATTTATAAAGGAACTTTAAATATAATCAATACAAAGGCCTTCCCCTAAGCCAAACAACCAGGATGGAAACCTTCTAAAAAAGAATGGGACAATCCATTTTTCCCTCAACCATGAACATCTCTCCAGCATTAATTCTATTTAGAAGCTTTAATCCATTTTTGTTAATTTTGTTCATTAATTCTATTTTGTTCATTAATTCTATTGAGATCCACGTTTGCTAATTTTCCTAACCAACTACTTAATATTCAACTTCAAGAAAGAAGAATTAAAAAAGCAGTTTATTAGTTATTATTTATGTTTAGTAATAAGCAGTTTATAACTAATACTTTCCAAATGGATATTATTTAGTTAGTTTATATTAGTTATTATTTATGGTTAGTGTATATTAGTTATTATTTATGTTTCCAAATGTAATTATTGTGGAACAGGAGCAAAAAGATGCTATGGGGAAGGGTCTTGTCACAATGCAAGATGTCGAGATGGTTGTTGCTGAAGGTAACGCTCCTCTCTCTCTCTCTCTCTCTCGCTATGTTCGTGTCTATCATGAACTTGTGTGATTGGATTTTGGTATTCTACATGGGTGCTGCAAACAACTGATGAATGTAAAAGATGTATGGTATGGTGCATCCACATGTGGGTTGGATAGGTGCAATAATTACACCTATTGTTAAGCAGTGGAAAATACTACTACACACCCATCTCATTATTATTTAGTTAGTTTATATTAGTTATTATTTATGGTTAGTGTATATTAGTTATTATTTATGTTTCCAAATGTAATTATTGTGGAACAGGAGCAAAAAGATGCTATGGGGAAGGGTCTTGTCACAATGCAAGATGTCGAGATGGCTGTTGCTGAAGGTACCGCTCCTCTCTCTCTCTCTGTGTTTGTGTCTATCATGAACTTGTGTGATTGGATTTTGGTATTCTACATGGGTGCTGCAAACAACTGATGAATGTAAAAGATGTATGGTATGGTGCATCCACATGTGGGTTGGATAGGTGCAATAATTACACCTATTGTTAAGCAGTGGAAAATACTACTACACACCCATCTCATTATTTTTGGTTACTTGTCCTAAATTCCATGCATATTCTTTTCGTTATTGTCGTAATAATAGTGTAAAAAGCTGTAATATTCCAATTCATTAACTCTACACTTGTGGTAAGGTAAGACTACATGCCTGATTTTATATTTGCAAAAGTGGTAAACTGGATGAGTGATTGTAGAAAATAAACTACACACGAACATTGTGTTAAACTAAATGAGTGATTGCATAATGTACAAGTTGTCATCTTTGAATTCATTAAACAATGCATTGCGGTAAAGTGGATGCCATTTTTGGAGCAATTCTGGCTCACTTTTATATTTGATGTGGTATAGCTTGTTAGTTTGAATTCTCTAGTATCCACGAATTTTTGTTGTGATTGTTTCCAAAAACTTTGAATTTTTGAAAATTTGGGATGGGTTCGGTGGATTTGACGGTGATGAAGCAAAGCACGGTGAGTAATGGGGTGGGCTCGAATTTGGAAGGGCCAGTGAATAAAGGTAAGTTTTTGATGTGTGAATTGTGTGTGAGTTTTATATAAGAGACAGATGGGTAGGCAGTTCAGTGTGACTTGAGACTTTGAAACGCTTTGAGAGAGAGAGAGAGAAAAGTGAGCCTGGTTAAAAAAAAAAAAAAGAAAGAAAGAAAGAAGAAAGTGAGACTGTCTCAACAGAGTCTCGAGAGAGAGAAAGAGAGAGTCTTTGTGTAAGGAGAAGGTATAGTTTCTTCATCTCTTCCCATTATTTGTTTTTCAGAAATGAAGAATTATTATGTTGATTTTATTGAAATGAAAATTACATCTCATATATAATTATGAAAATTACATCTCATATATAATTATGAAAATTTTTATTTTATAACAAATGATTCTTTTTATTAATAAATTAATTAATAATTTTTAATTATGTTCAAAATTTATTTTAATTAATAATTAAAAAAATTAATTAAGGTGAGATAAATTATTGTGAACACCCATTACCGTCCAACCAAAAGAAAATTGGATGTGTATCAATTCTGGTCTAAAAATTTGGGAAGCAACCAAGGTCTGATTGGTCACAGGTTTGGATCCATATGACCGGACCCATAATATCCCCCCTTCAAGTTGAAGTCTTTAATTCGAATCATCCACCATCATTTTTTATATATCTCCCTGCGCATCACTTTCTTTGTGTCTCTCCCTGGGGCCTAGGGCGATATGGCAACATACGGAAGAAAAATGGGGTTCAAAATGGCGTCGAATCTGATGAGAACCCTCCTAACTCCATCAACCTCCAATTTCGCTTCAAACTCGAGAACTCTCACCACCGCCGCCGCCGCCGCCACCGCCACCAGCAGCTTCGTTAGCAGTGAAGTTATCACCTCCCACACTGCCAAATGGATGCAGGTATTCCTTCCTATTTCATTCTCCAATCATTTATCTCCTCGAATTGTAGATTTTCTTCATCCCTAATCTTTTATTATCAGATCTATTTTCACTTTTTTAGCTATTCACTGTTGTGTGGATTTCTGGGTGTTAGGTTTTAGATTCAAATTGGCCTTGTTCTCTTTCGTTTTTCGTTGTTTTCATTAATCTTCTCTCTTCTTCCTTGTATCCCTAATTCACTAGAGGTAAAAAATTAAAATAATAATAATAATAAATTGATTTCACTTTTTTAGCTATTCACTGTTGTGGGAATTTCTGGGTATTAGGTTTTAGATTCAAAGTGGCCTTGTTCTCTTTCGTTTTTCGTTGTTTTGATTAATCTTCTCTTTTCTTCCTTGTATCCCTAATTCACTAGAGGTAAAAAATTAAAATAATAATAAAAAATTAAGAACAACTATGCCATCTGAAGAATTTAAGAGGACTTGGAAGAGAATTAACAAGTCTATTCCAGTGAAACAAGACCTGCACTGGTCGACACCCTTTGTTTTATTTTGCATTGATTAAAACTTTTGTTTTTGACAATTTGATATTTACAGATGGAATGAATTCAAATTTCACAAGGTGGATATTCATAACTAACCTCTTCTAGGAGGAATTCATTACTTCTTTTTTCTTTTGTTTTTTGGTGACAATTACTTTTATTATGAAACTTTTGTACATATATTTTTCTCCTTTGGAAACAAGTAGTTGGCAATTACATAGGCTTGTATTTTTTTTTCAATTGGAAAAAAAAGACGCTCCGTGGAGACATTATAGCATCTGTAGGCCCTGGCCCCAGAGTAGCCGATTGACGACCAAATTTAACCCAACCCGAAGGAAGGGACCCACCACCAGCTAACAATGAACCTCACCCACACCCTCATAGCAGGAGGCAGAGTCTAGCGACAGGAGTACAGTGCAGCTCTGAAGAGCACACCCCCCAAGTGGTGAACCCTGCTCTTCCGTGTGGAAATCAGGTACATTATCCAAGTTACCAGCACCCCTGATGGTCATTACATAGGCTTGTATGACCTAAGCCATTTTTGTTTGAAACTTTTGAGTCATCTTCTATCATCCAAACCAAATTAGAGCTTAAATAATGTTTTAATGGATTCTCTTTTCTCTCTTTCTAACCAGAGCTTCTTGGCATGCTGGAAATTGTAATCTTAACCATTTTGTATCCCACATGTTTAACATTTTGTTCTACACATAGATGAAATTCTTCTTGTTGGATGTGCATTGCATATGATTTTGAACGTTAATTTGTTGTCTTTCTCGCTCTCTCTCGCTCTCTCTCTCTAAGCAAGCAAAATTTTATTGCCAAAAAGAAAAAGGATATACAATGATGCTCAAAACAAACCCCACGGGGACAAAAAAGCACAGCCAAATACAAAGCCAAGGGGAAACAACCCAAAACAAGGCTAACAACAACAATCAAAAATTTTGGTTCTCCATAGAAAGCTTGAGTTTGTGAATCTTCTATTGAAGTTTATTTTGATTCTGATTCCATGATGAAGGTCAGCAATCGTTACTGCCATTAACTTTGCCTTTAGATGGAGTTGAATCAATATACATTTCAATAGAATCAATACCTACTCTCTCTCTCTCTCTCTCTCTCTCTCTCTCTCTCTCTCTTTAATTTTTATTTTCTTTTTCTCTCACTTTGGATATTTTTGTTTTTGAGACAATCATACGTTATTGCCAGAATATATACATGTTTTCTTTATAATTGTTGACAGGATACAAGCAAGAAATCTCCCATGGAGTTGATCAATGAAGTTCCACCCATCAAGGTTGAGGCCAGAATTGTTGCTTGCGAAGGAGGTTAGTTTATTTTCTGAGTGTGAACTCTCTTTTGTAATAGTTCTGGTAAAAAAGTAACCGGGTGGATTATACGAATAACCGAGTCATTTTTGTCTGGGGTTTTTATTTTTGTATTTATGAAAATGTCTCCTCAGTTCACGCTAATTTCTGGTTGCAGACAGCAATCCTGCGCTTGGGCATCCAATTGAGTTTATTTGCCTTGATAAGGATGAGCCAGCTATCTGCAAGTATTGTGGTTTACGCTATGTTCAAGACCATGGCCACCATCGCCAGTAATGATTCTGAAAATAAATTCTGCAAGGATAATCAACCATGACGGGCTTGTGGGGGATAATCACAAGGATAATGGTGAAATTTCTTCACATTGTGTTTTACACTTTAGTTTCAATAAATCTTTGTACCTATAATGCTTGCATGCTTTTGTTATCAGCAGAATAAGAATTTGGTATGACTATTCTTATTGTTTTCCGGATCTAAATTTACATCAAACTACCTTTGTTATGCTTTATCTACAACGAATTGTGTGATTGATTACCTTTTCTTGCTGTGACGTTTGCATTTTGAGCAATGTCATGAGGTCAGAAATTCTTCCATAACATTTTATTTATCTATTGTAATTTGTTTTCTAATGATCCCACACAAGTGTCATGGGAATGGAATTAACATTACCAGAAGACAACCTGAATCAACACACATTTTGTCACACAAGATTCTGCTTTTATCATTAGTCAAGTTACCATGAAAATTATCACCAAAAAAAAAAAGAAAAAAAAAAAGTCAAATTACCATGAACTTTTGGAATAGAGAAAACTGAAACCTTACAAACAGCCAAATCAGTCAACACCTTGGGTTACGAGGTTCCAAATTGTAATGAACTTGAACTATGATAAATTATATCACCAGACAAGGCAACATGTGTGCACAAACACTCATCGTACATGTATAGAATCCCAAATCTGTGTGTGGTGAAAACTCCATTCATAAAAAAAATTAGCTCAATGGGAGAACCCCAACAAGTGAAGAACAACAGGGAATCCCAAATCTGTGTGGTGAAGTCTCCATTCATAAAAAAAGTTAGCTCAATGGGAGAACCCCAACGAGTTAAGAACAATAGGGTGCCAATAGGGGCAAGTGGCACCGCAAATGTATAATATATAACTTATGAATAGTCAACAGAAAGATTGAATGTAAACTATGGTTGACATACCAAAACTCCCCAGTAGATGGGGCAAATAATGATGACAAGAAGTTAACCAAAAAATAAAAATGACCCAAGACTGACAAAATAAGCAGATACCAACTCATTCTTACCCAATTAGCAAAAGACAATTTTGTATGCTAGCGTTTAAAAACACTCCCATCAGGAACTACTTCCCGTCAGCAGCAGCCAGTTTCTTTCTTTGTTGATGCTCTGCAACTTTGTAATCTACTACTTCACGTAACAAGTTTGGATCGAGCACACAGTTCTCGCTCCCATAAGGCCTCGTTTGGGAACATGCTAATTTAGTAACTTTTTGGTTTTTTGGCTAAAAAGGTAGGTAAAAAAAACTTGTATGTTTGGGATGACTTTTTGGCTAATTACGAAAAGATGTGCAAAAAGTAGAGAGAAAAGAGAATCTTTGACTTTTGGGTATGGGTTGTTGGCTTTTTGACTAATTTAGTAACTTTTTGGCTAATTGGCTAAAATAGGCTCTTGCCAAACGAGGCCCAGCAGCTTAAACACTTGCCATCAGCTTTGCTATTTCTCTTCCTGAGAATCCTTCAGTCTTAGCTGCAGCTTCCTTCAGAATATCATCGGTCAAGCCCTTTATCTCTATCTTCTGCTGTTGTTTCCGGAACAGATTGGAAAATAAGCCTGGTTTTCTTGCCCCCGCCTGACCTATGTACTTGTTCAAATAGAGTTTCAGCAGCTTGAATCGTTCGCCCTCACCAGGCAAAGGGAACTCAAGGACTTCATCAATACGATCTGCCACTGCTGAATCAAGATCGCCAGGGCGGTTTGTAGCTAGAGCAAGGACTATATCCTTGGACTGGTCACCAGTACGGAAAAGGAGGGCATTCAGTGCACTCCTTTGAGCTTCACTCATGTAGGTTTTATTTTGCCTGAAAATTTTGGTTAAGAAACCGTATGCTCATAGTTAGGTTTTGTCATAAAAATCAAATTGGAAAATGCTGATGTCCAGAATATCACATAAAAGTATGATCAAGTCCAAAACCAAATTAGGCATCATTTTACAAAGTGGATAGATAACAAATAAATTTCCAAGGAAAACTATATTATGCCAAGGATAATCAAATAGCTTTTGCTTTTGACCGTATTATGCCCAGTAAAACTCCGTTAGGTTGAAAATTTGTAGAAAAAAAATTCCAAAATCACTTTTATCTCTACTATACATCAATCCATCACTTTTTCTCTCTCTTCTCTCAATCTCAATCACTTTTTCTCACACCCGTCTATTCAACTACAAAAAAAATATCAAATAATCCCAAACTCAAAAACTCAAAAACTGTTTTCAAAATCTACAGCCAAACAAATTTTTAAATTTTCTAAACTCTCTCAAGAAAATTATTTTTGAAATAATATCTCAAAACACAAACCAAACAAGGCCTATATTTCTATCACACCTCTACATGGAACATTATTCGAAATGCAAACATCACTTACTCGCACAAAAATGCATCCGCTTCATCAATGAAAAGCAATAAACATTTATTTGACTTCTTGGCCCAATCAAACAATTGGTGTATCTTGGTAACAGCCTGTGGACCCAGTGGCGCAACGTCTCCACCAGTCATTAATGCATAATCTAGCCCCTGAAAGCATATATCATGCAATTAACAGAGAACATTTACACCAATTAAAGTTTGCGAGAGAGAGAGAGAGAGCAGATACAGATTTGTGTGCCATCTCTCTAGCAGCCATTGTTTTCCCTGTTCCAGGAGGACCATAGAAGAGCATGTTCCGAAATGGTGCTTGATGGGATTTTGTATTCGCAGTTGCACGAGCTAGCTGCTGAATTCGTTTTTGAAGAGAAGGGTTTAAGATAACATCACCAAAGCCATTCCCAGTTTTGAGGGAAGAGACTTTTATGTGATAGAGTGCTCATACCACGAGAAAACAATCCTGACAAAGGGTATTTCCCTCTGGAGGACTCTCTGATCAATGATGGTTGTCCTCATATTCTGTCCACATAGCTCCAAAGCACTCTTGCACCTTCTCTGCATTGTAAAGGACAAATTTGAATGAGTATATCATTGAATATGGACACGGGGAAATAAAAATCATCCTAGTACCACCACCATCATTATCATTGATTTCATTTTAATAATAACACAAAGATTGTTACGTTCAGTACAAAGACAAGTATACTTTTAGTAGCAGGACATTGCATTTGAGTTCATGAAAAATAATACATTTAAATAATATTAACTGGAATTAATACCGAATGTACACGAGATACTTCACTTCCTCAAGTGGATTCAGCCAGGAAAAAAAAATGTAAAACATTCTTTTTGCTTATAGACTCCAATACCTTGTTGTGTAGATCCCTGCTGCAAGAGCTGTCACTCCACCAACAGCCACAACCAGCTTATTTTGATCAGTTAATATGGCATGCGAACCACCTGCAAAACACAAATAAATCCCCATCAAGCAAAGCTCTTTTAAACACAAATTTACATCAATAACCAAATGAAGCAGTCACAACAGAGTAGAATTTTTGGGCATTTCAATAGAGAATTTATTTCTTTTGATCAAATTATCAACCAAAAGAATCTTCCCAAGTCTGTTTCATGTAACTAAACCGAATATGTCAGCAACTATATCAATTTCACACCCTAGATTTGCTTGAATCTGGACATCTTGGCTTTACTAAGAACAACAACAGTTGGCATGGTAACAACGTGATAAAGAATAAAAAAATAGATATCTACGCACAGAATGCAAACATACTGCTAAAGAAGTAAAAATCATAATTTGCAACCCATTCATAATTATGATGAAAATTAATTTTAAAAACGGCTTTAATTTATTTCCCATCTGTATGTAAAAAGTTATTCAAGGAAGAAGAAAAGCAAAATTATCATTTAAATCACAGTATAATGTCAAGTTTCTTGTCATTAGTTGATATTCTCATGTATTTGAAGAATCAATTGTAAAACATAACAGTGTCCAATAAACTTATGCATTTATTTATACAAATATGCACATGCAAACACACAAAAAGAAACAAAGCAAGAGGATATGAACCTCAGGGCAGTCACTAAGATTAGATATGCTAAAGTATAACCACAACAAAAAAAGAAAATGTGAGTGCTGAAAATTGAAGCTGACAAAGGACCACCTATAGGCAGGGGGAGGGCCATCCCCTGTTGCAGGTCATCAACAATGGACTGAAAAAAGGGAACAAAAGAAAAGGGGGAAAAAGAAGAAGAAAAAAGATACCAATATTTGATATATTTCTCATTTAATCAACACTGAAACAATTCTCATGCCAAAAGGTTTATCTATGCGAACCTACTTTAAGAAGTTTTGTCTACAAATTTGAAAACACAAACTAAATTAAAAATTATATATAATAAAATAATAAATTTAACATATTAATTGTAGTACTTATTTTTTAGAGGATGTTAACTTATTACTGAGAGGAGGATTTGTGCCAAATAATGGCCAAGCAAAATCAACACAGTAATTTTGTTGGGCCAGGTAGGACTAACACGAAATATGGTGTTGGGCCAACACAGAACATGGTGTTGGACTGGGCCAACAGGTAGCGTAATGTTTGGTCGAGCTATCTAAGGTGGCACGGCTATATACGTCATGGTTGGGTTCACCGATCAACTGAGCTGGCGATGGATGGATCGAACGAAGAGAGCGAACGGACCACATTAAGGCCGTGGTATACGGCCAAGTTGATAAGGGTCGCACTTGTTGACAACGTAAAGGTGTTGACTAAGCGCGGCGTCGATCTAGGGTATATCTTAGCTTGGCATCAGTATGTCCAGAATCAATATCTTTAGTGCAACCTAAGTATAGCCCAATTAGGTATTCCACGTGGACCAATGGAAAGGAAATCGCTCTGGGTGTACGTCAATACTGTTTGGTAGTATTCATATATACACTTGTGAGGAATGAAGAGGGCTGTATAGCCACACATCCAATAAAGGACAACAGAGGTAGTGTGCACACAATCTAAGGCTGCATGACCAACCTAGAAAATGAGGCACAATCAGACTCAAAGGGGTAAGCAACTTTTAGCCACTCTCTCTCTACAATGCTCTGTATTTTATCTTCTTCTCCAAGAAAGCTACCTTGACCGTTGGAGGGATTTTCCGGTAACCCACTCATCGGGTAGCTCATCCTTGTTTGTTCACAGTAAGACAGAGTTCCATCGAATTTAGAAGAGCTTGGTAACAAGGAATACGGAAGGCGACGAATATTTTCCCCCTATACAATTACATAAGTTTTTAATAAAAATGGTATAACTTCTCTTAAATTGATCATATCAACTTAAGAGAGCATTTGATTATAGTAGGCCCATTCTGAAACCAATTTTGGTAATTTGAACCATTCGCTTTGTAGGACTCGTTGAGTAAAATATTTATGCAAAAAAATAATATGATCAGATATCAATAGTTATATGTTTGAATTAAATTTGTATTACAAAAATAGATGGTTATTATCGAAATTATATTTATCGGCTATTTTTTAAAAACAAATATGACTTAAACACATAGTTACCGATATCTAATAATTTTGATTTTTTTGCATAAATATTATACTCAATGAGCCGTAAAAAATGAACTATTTAAATCACCAAAATCGATCTCAAAACGAGCTTGCAAAGTCCAAATACTATTTCAAATTGACATAAGACAACTTAAAAGAAGTCGTACCCTTAAAAAGATTTATACATCATAACATTTGAAGGCTTGATTAAAAATACGAATAATGCTATATGCACCAATTAGTATACTAAATTGTATACCAATTGATGATGTGGCATAATTTAAGTAGTTTTTGGTATTTGTAATGTAATTAATAAGTGGAGTCAATAATAATGTCATAACTGGTGTTGGTGCGCTAGTTAATATATTAATTAGTGCATGTAGCACCACTGTTAAAAATACTCTTAATCACCTTGTGTCATTAAAGAGGACCAAGTTCCTCCGTAATTCAGAGATTTTCTAACTATATAGACTTCTAAGGTGACTTCTACAAAATATTAAAGCCAATAAAACTTATTTATTATCTCCAGAAGTATATTAATACACCACTTGTAATGTCTCGTTGAACATGCACATTATTCTCATCATATACTAACGACTCTTTGAAACATGCACACCGCTCTCATCATATAGTTCACTTTGAGTGATTTTTATATATGAATGGAATATGTCTATATAATACCTTCCATTATTATGATTGGTAAAAAATAATGAAATATAGGCTATATTGTTGAATGTTTAGGGAACACTAGAGCCATATATATTTGTGAGTGATAGAAGGATAGTGATACTTGTACCGTATTGGTATACAAAACTTTTTCACTTCATAGAGATATTGGTTTAATATTTCCCCCCCAAAAAATAAAGAACATATGTACACAACACACAAGCATATCCCATTACTCCAAGCACTTGTAATTCAATGACACCTTCTAAACACTCTAATACAACAAGCAGAGAATTTAGGATGATGACATAGCTTCATTGATCTCTGTTTGTTCTCTTTCTCCATACGTTGGGACGGGAGGAGCATTTTTCTAATGTCATCTGGCTTCCATTGCTATGGCCAGTGTCAGACCATGTGCCCCTTCTGTTTGACAGTAGTGGCATTACTATAGGTAGGGCACCAATCCAATTTAAAAAACAGGTGGTTGCACATAGACGGTTTCTGGTATAACGTGGTTGATCGGAGTAGGGGTTATAAATTGGTGGAGAACCCTAGCTACTGCTGGGAGGACTTGAAGACATGGAATGTGGAGGAATTTGGCTGCTTAAAGGAGCAGAAAGCGAGGGTGCTTGAGGAGATTCGGAGATTGGATTACAAAGGCTGTTAGCAACCTTCTTGATAAGGAGAGGGGAAGGAGGAAGGAGAAGAATTGCAAAGATGGAGGAATTAGTTGGAAGCAGAAATTTACATCGTTGTGGCTTCAGCCAGGGCCTGATAGGATGATTCTATCATTCTTTCAATAGTATTGGAGTGTGCTAAAAGAGGTGTTGGGTACGATGACATTATTCGATGAGCATGTGTTGTTTAAGAACGTCTAAAATGCATCATTTGTAGTTCTAATTCCAAAGAAAAGATGTGCGGAAGACATCAATGATTTTCAGCCTATTAGTTTGCTTGGTGTTGCTGTTGTTGCATGCATATAAGTCGTGGGCAAAGGTGTCGATTTCTAGATTGAAAACAGGTGTTGAATGTGGTGGTTTCAGATTCTCAGAATACTTTTGTTGAGGTAGAATACTTTTGTTGAGGTAGACAAATCTTGAATACAGTTACTGTGGTCAATAAATGTGTTGACTCTAAATTGAGAAGTGGCGAAACAGGGCACTGTAAGTTGGATATTGAAAAGACATGATCATGTGAATTGGGAATTCTTGTTGTGCTTGATGCAAAGGATGGCCTTTGGCTACAGGTGGAGATAGTGGATTTGGATTTATATTTTGACGGTACGCTATAGGTGAATTGACAGCTGAGACAAGAATCCATCATGTCCTTTCTTGTTACCATTATATCCTTTCTTGTTACAGTGGGCTTTCAGGAGAGTGTGGTGCAGGGCAGGGCTCATCGATGATGGAGTCCATCTTTAAGCAGATAACACAGTAATGTTTTGCAAGGCAGATCTGGTGCAGTTGGGCTACCATTTTCCCAAGAAGTAATTCATCAGATAATAAATTAAATAAAATTCAGTAGGTAAAACAATCATGTAAAGGGAAAAATTAGAGGAAAAACAAAAAAGCCCATGCATCAACTCATATTCTTGAGAAAACATATCCACTTCCTCGTTCAACTGTTATGGCAGCAAAATAATTCATTCATATCTTAAACCAAGTTGAATTTATTTGTAGATTTTATATTCAACAAGTCTCGTCAGTTGCCACAAAATATTTCCACTCCAAGTTGTCAGTTTTCACATTGTCACTAACAAAGAAAAAGTTGGTAGGTACATTTCAATTATTTAAATTAAAAATAAAAATAAAAAGAAGAAAGGAAAGTGATAGGTACATGTCACATATAAAAAATAGAAAACCTCCCTCCCTCCCTCTCTCCATATATATGTATAATGCATGGAAACATAGATGCTTTTATACATACATTCACAAACCAGAAAACCCCAGAATTTATTATCCAACACAGCACAAAAATAGGAAATGTCACACCAATAAATTATACAGGGAACAAGTAACCAATTCATTTTTTCACGAGTAACAGGTAATCGATTAGTGATATAGAGGGAGGTTATAAAATCTTGAGCTAAGCAAACAGTGATTACGGAAACTCTAGGAATAAATCATGATGTCAAAGCAGTCGAATAAAGGATAAAAACATAAAAGAGACTTAGGATGAATCATTTCGTAATAGAGGGCAAATGATACAAGATCAGCACATAATGTACCATACCTTAATCTTTTGGGAACACACAATGTTTTCCTCCCTCTCTCAATTCCGTTTATCCGTTCCCTCACCCTCTCTGTGTTTTACTAACCCTTCTGCAAATCTGTTTTCTGATGAGCTTCCTCCACTGCCCATGCCTGACTCTCTTGAGACTGCCTTGCCTACTGGTCTTTCTCAAGCACCTGCCAGCTCTGATACCATATAAGAAATTGAGAGAGATTGAGAGAGCAAATATTAGCTCTATGTTTTTGATGTGTATTGCAACCAAATGGAACCTCCATTATATAGGAGATGTTTTACAAGACAAAATGATGAACAAAGGAAATATACAAATGAAAGGCCACCGAAAGATAGCTGAAAGCAAAAGGAAAAGAAGGCGTCTATCTGTGCTAGGCTAGCAACAACTATCTATACAGATATTTAATATAATCTATTAAATATACTATCTACTATTAGCGGCTGTAGATCTATACAGATTAATATAGTATTAACTTATAACATATTATAGGTATAGTATTAACACATATATACAACAGTGAAGAAAAGGAACCATAATGACTGTTTTGTAGTGTAAAACAGTTATGAATACCAGACACATGTCTCACCACAGGCCACAGCTATGAAATGTAGCATTTCTGGATTTTTCAAAATCTTTATTGAAGTGTTCACAACTTGCACCAATAAGTGGTTCATCCATATATACAACAGTGAAGAAAAGGAACCAAAACATAAAAACCAAAGATCTTGGCAAATCATGTCAAATTATTGCATTGTTAGTCACATTACTCCTTTAAGTGACAGATTTTGTACCCCACCAGAATCATGAGTTTTCATCTCTTTTAACCCATGCTGACATGGAGCAAGAGTAAGCGGCACTCTGTGGACCAACTGGCCAAAATTTATGTAACAGAAGTAGTTCCTTGCAACCCACCTAGATCCAAAAATCCAGAAAAGAAAAGAAGTGCTACTCCATCCACGTATCAAGAATGCAAGTGTATTAGGCAAACCAATCCTAGACAAAATTCTCACTCCCAAAATGAGTAACCCATTGAAAACTGGTCTGACCCCTTAGTCACTGAACCATCAACGATGGGGGAAAGCTAATGCACAGGAAAGAAGCTTAGATAGAATGTTCTCTTGCTCTCTCTCTCTCTCAAACCTATAGAAAACAAGCTATGAGAATAGAATATTAAAGAATCTGTGAAATTTGAAAGAAAAACAAGAGAGAGAGAGAGAGAGAGAGAGAGAGAGATAAAACAAGCATGATTAAGTCACCTATTCTCTATATTTGTAATTGCAAAGTACATTTTTTAATAAAGACTGTCACTGACACTGGTATTTTTTCTTTCTTTTCTTTTTCTATCCCTACTACAACTAGAAATTCACAATTTTCTTACAATGGCAAACCCCCTTTCCTAATTAAGTTTTTAAACATTTTGTTAATCAAATATTCATATACCTCAACATGTTCAATTATTTAATAGTTGAGAATTTATTAACATTTATATGGGTTTTAGTTTTTTATTCCTAACATTTTTATACATTTCCAAAATTCTTGTCATTCCCCTTGTGTTTCCAAGATGATTTTGTTTCCAAGCTAACCAAAACAAAATTTCGATCCATGATTGGGAGTTTTTTTAATGTGATATAGATACCTTATTGATGAATAATTGTTGAAGCATAAATGCTAAGGAAGGTAATGGGAAAGACAAGTGATTGATTCTACTCAGGTTCAGGATAGAGGACAACAGAGTCCCCGGCCTCTTAAACTTGGGGCGCTTGATTGCCCTAGGGCTTGCATTGAGTTGTAGGACATGCCAAGACTCCTCTCCTCTCCATTAGAACTCTAGCTTGCTGGCCAAGATAACTTATATTAAAAAATCTCAGATGAGTATAGTTAATTAAGAAAAAAAAAATGTCAAAAAAGAAGGAATAATCAAGTATTTTGACAGATGAGTTGAAGCATCATATCAAATAAAGGATGCCTACCAACTTTTTGAACTTTAGTAGGCAAAAGCCCCATGTAATGCACTTTTTTCTTTTTCTTTTTCATTTGCAGGACAAGACCAACAATAATGGCAATGGGAGTAGCAACAATGTAAATGCATCAGGAAGTAAAAGACATCAGTATAACAGCGAAAAGAATTGTATACCACACTAATGTATTTGCTGAAGGATAAACAAAAGATCTCTCATATATTGAGGCCGCGGCAGCAGCAGCTTGGAGTCTGGTCTGATGCTGGCTGATAGTGTTATTTGCTACATCATCTCCAGTTGGATTCTGAGAAGGTGTACTTGCTGTGCCTGTTCCTGAACCCAACTAAAAGAGTTAGCCACCATTTTCAACATACATGAAGCTAGATTCATCAATTTATCTCAAAACCATTATATGAGCCTCTTCTTAAGTTGCACGTACAGAAAGTGTGATCAAACTATGGCACATACCTAGCTCAAAAAAAAAAAAACAAACAAACAAACAAACTATGGCACATACCATAATCAAGCTTAAGAATTAAACTATGCCCAAAAAATAAAGATATAGCTGGATTATTTTAGAATGACCAATAACACCTCAGTATGCAATATCATTTAGATGGAAGAAAATTTTACATTTCCACAAAAACTAAGGGATCTAAGATCACAAAATACCATCTAATCACATTGATGTTTCTGCTAGCAAGAAATAAGCAAAGCCATGCTACTATCTGCTGCCTGTGTCTGTTGTTGTGGATGATACTAAGCTTAAAAATGTAAGAGCAAAACATTTAAATAAATAAACGAAAAAAGTGTATATTAACATAAATCTTACTGCATCCATACAATTTCCACAATACTGATTGCTATATAGCTTATTTTCTTTTTCTGTTTTCTTTAAGGAAGCTGCCATACATAATGCCGAATACTTTGGTCAGTTGGAAAGGAAAGTCCTCAAGACTTTCCAGTGAATAATCCCATAGAATATTTGGACACGTTTTACATGACTCTGATAAGCGATGCAGAAACTTTTATTTAATGAGAACTTGACAAAAGTAATTTGGAGGGACCATATTGCGCAGTTTTTTATTTAGTTTTATTTATTTATTTTATTTATTGCAAACCCCTCAAATTGAAGTTCTCATCTAAGGTCAAATATCAAGTTTCACAATTTTCAATCAACAAAATTGAGTTCATTACTACGGACAAGTATCAAGGGCTGTTCAACATAAACAAAAAACAAAAGATATGATTACCTTGTTGGTGAGCATCTGCCCGTGATCCAGAAGTACTAGTCCCATTTTCAGGTGGTGAAACAAGGGCTCTGCAAGTAGGACATGTGTGTTGTCGCTCTAACCATGACCGGAGGCAGTGCACATGAAACAGATGGCCACAACTTAGTCTCTTGGCTGTAGTCATCTCCTCACGACAAATGATGCAGGTTGCATCACTTCTGCATAAGCATCAGTAACAAATCATGTTACTATACATCAGAGTATTTAATAAGAAGACATACGTTCAATGTACTGAATCAAGGGGACAACTCACGCATTGAGCTCTTCAGGTGTTGCATCTGGAAAACGATCATTCATATTTGAAGTGATCTTCCGATAACGAATGTAATCGTTAACCCGAACCTTAAAGTTACGAAATGTCTCATAGAGCTCCTGAATCAAGTGCAGAGGCACACCATAGTTCCTGGGGAAATACAACACAAGTAAACATCATACCATGGGTGGAATAGAAAAACTAATAAAAAACCTCCTAAATGGGACATGACCCAATAGAAGGGAGGAAAAAAAAGAAGTGGAAAAGAAACATTGTTAAAAAATAGTCATTTCATGGTAAAAGAGTGCAGACAGAAATTTCTCAGGACTGTCAGCGGTGAGAAAGGAAAGCAAACATTGTGATAAATTGTTATTTTTAATCAGGAAACAGAGAAGGGGGGAAGGGGGGGAAGGGGCTACATAACCATGTCAGTAATGTATTTAAACATGTTCAAGAGTTTTTCAAAAAGTCCCTTTTAAAATATATATACATATATGGAGCTTTACTAGATATCTAGAAATCCTTATGACAATAGTATTCTTGTTGGTGTGCTCACTAGAAGCAAAGGCACTCACTTCTAGGATAAACAAGATGCCAATTTGCTAGCAGATGCAAAATTAAAGATCTGCTTCACAACCGATCCACCTCCAAAGGTGTGGCAAACATAACGAGGTTAGCACTGAAGCTTGTTCATCAGATTTTTTAATAATGCAACATACTTTTTCAAAAGAAAAAGAAAAGAAGAGAGAAGAAAAGAAGAAGAAGAAGAATGAAAACAAGAAAGAGAAACCAAGATACGAGTTAATAAGTCACCATATTCAGTTAAGGAAGTGATAATAATGCAACATACTTTTAATAAAGATATGAATTAATGAAGCTTGTTCATCAGATTTTTTAATAATGCAACATACTTTTTTTTAAAGAAAAGAAGAAGAAGAAGAAGAAGAAGAAGAAGAAGAAGAAGAAGCAAGAAAGAGAAACCAAGATACGAGTTAACAACTCACCATATTCCGTTAAGGAAGTGATAATTATAACCTTGATATTAGTCATATAAGCAAAGGCCTTAACAGACCACGGTTACAAAGCAAGATTTTAGGTTCAGAATCACAGGGTCACTATGTTACATATTGAAAATAAGAAGTCCTATAGCATCATTGTGGATATCACTTCATACATAGACATGACATGTAGATACGCATGCACACGTATCTAGCAAGGCAAATAGATACAAACATTCAAACAACCACTCAACACCCACGTTAATGGTACGTGTTGTAAGTATCCATTGTGTATCATATGCATATACAAACACATCCACGCAGACAACCAAAGTCAGATAAATTACTTACACGAAAATCACAAGAAAGAAGCACAGATACATAGACAAGTGCAGCAAGTCCCTGACAAGTTCCAAGTAAAAGGTGTAGACTGCCTTTTTTTCCCATTGTCCTTCCATAAGCATGTCGCTGACGTAGAAAACATATTTTACAAATGTTGACACTGTTGTTGTTGCCAGTATCCTATACCTGATATACATTAACAAAAAATAATAATAGATAGGTATCAGAACCACCTATAAAAAACATGACTCCAAAGAATTTACCCAGGTGTACATTTGGAACAAATACTGAAACGTAAAAATTAAACAAGTAGGTTCTGTAAATGAACCTACCAAAAATAAAAATGAAAAACTTCAATAAAATATGAACTTCAAAATCCTTATAAGCATGTATACCTGTACTACATAAATATAAATATATTGCTTCCTTTTACCAGTGCTACCCATGTGCACTGTAAAATAAATTGATGTATATTATTGATTGTATTGTTACAAGATTGTTGTGTATATTGATATTTTGTTATGTTTACAATGATCAAATATATAGAAGAGAAGAAGGTAGTAGGTGAAGTGGTAGGGGATGAAGTGGAGGTGGTAGTGGTAGGTTAGGTGAGGAGGTGAGTGTGTGTGGTAGGTAGTAGTGGGTTAGGTTTAGTGGGTTTAACAGCCCCCCTCAAACTCAAGGAGGTTAGACACAAACCAACTTGAGTTTGGAGAGAGTTACAAAACAGAAAAATAAACTGATAAATAAAACAGGATAGGAGACACGGTATGGTCGTGTCAGACCGATGTAGCAGACAGTTTATGGGGTCATGTCGGACCGTTGTAGAAGAACAGTTTACGGGGTCATGTCGGACCGTTGTAGCAGGACAGTTTTACGGGGTCATGTCGGACCGTTGTAGAAGACAGTTTACGGGGTCATGTCGGACCGATGTAGCAGGACCAGTTTACGGGGTCATGTCGGACCGTTGTAGCAGAGGTTGTGGTGGTGCACCAAGGGGGCGACTTAGGGAGTGCGCCATGAGCGACTTATACATGATACTGTGTATAACCCCCCTCAAACTCAAATAGGTGTGAAGATAGAAACCTTATTTGAGGTTGAAACAAAGGGATTGATAAAGCTGACTGGTGTAGAAGACACTGTAGGAGTGTGTAGATAGACTGCCCAAAAGATATACATAGATGTAGATATCGAGCCCTCAAAAATCGTGCCCTCAAAAGGTGTGCCCGCACCCTCAAAAGGCGTGTCATCAAAAGGCGTGCCCGAGTCATCAAAGGGCGTGCCATGAAAGGCGTGCCAGGTTGTCGGTGTCAAGAGGCGCGCGATGCGCGTGGCTGCCTCGGTATATAACCAAGACTGAACCTGAGGCTGAGGCAGAGGCTGAGACAAAAAAAAACCTGCGAATTTCTCTGAAAAACCCTTCGTTGTGCTGAGAGAGAGAGGTTGTAACACTGTTGTGCTGGAGAGAGAGGTCTGTAACACTCTGTTGCGGAGAAAATGGCTTCGTCGTCCCGTGGTCTGCTGACTCTCTTTCCCGCCTCAACGAGTCCACAGGAGAGAGAACTGGTGCGGTGGCCCATGAACCTCAACCAACACCACTGGGTTTGCTCCGTTGAACTTTCCGATGCAGTCGGTGGAGCAAAAAATGACAGTGCAAACGGATGTGGAGGCTAATCAGTATATACTTTGAAGGCATGTATAGAGTCCATGACGGCGGTCACAAACTTTGTCGCACCGGCTGCAGAGGTAGGACAAATGAGGTGCAGCAATTAAACTCCCAGCTGGCTCTGCTCAAACGCATGTATAAGGATGCGCGAGCAGAGATAAGCGTGCTAAGGGCAGAAAACAAGGAGCTGAAGCGGAAGGCCACCGTGATGTTCCGATTTGGAGGGCCGCCATATGCTGCAGGGGAGGAGCATGGAGTAGTGATCGTGCCCAGTGGAGTGGGAAACACGGAGGCAACACTGTCAAGGGCCGTCCAAGACGGAGGCAAGAAGAAGAGACGGCTGCAGAGTAGGAAGAAAAATCCCACTGTTCCGATGTGTGTTTGGTTTTGTGTTGTGTTGTGTTGTGTTGTTTGTTTGTTTTTTTTTTTTTTTTTTTTTTTTTTTTTTGTTGTGTAAAAGTATGATCGGGGTTGATCCCGGAGAGGAATAAAATATGGGTGTTGTGCAAAGTTGTAAATTGTTTGATTTTTTTTTTTTTTTTTTTTTTTGTTTTTGAATTAAAAAAAAGATATATATATATAGAAAAAAAAGTGGGGAACACCTGATGTCGAAGAGCATCAATGAAGGTTTAGAAGAAAAAAATAAAGTTTGATTAAAAAATAAAGTGGGCGGTGGATGGTGTGTGACTAAACAAGAAAAGTGAATTGGGCGGTGTGCCCTACTAATGTGAGAGAATGATGTCTGAGAGCATCAATGAAGGTGTAGAATAAAAAAATAAAGTTTGATTAAAAAAAATAAAGTGGGCCGGTGTGATGGGTGTGTTTTAACCAAAGAAAAGTGAATTGGGTGTGGTGTGCCCTACTAAATGTGAGAGTCGGTCACTTGATGAGAAAGAGAAGGAGAAGAGGGGTGTGGCGAGGATCTTGCCGCCGAAGCTGCACATGAAGCAGACACGTGGCTGGGTGATGGTGGCGTCGTTGATCTTGCCACCGAAACTGGTGTGTGGACGGGTCCAGAAAGGAGACGTGAGCTGTGTAGGATAGGAGAGACTGGACCGGTGTAGGATTAAGCAAGGCGTCGGCGAGGCCGCTGACTTGTGGGTGGCGCCGGGGCGGAGGTGGCGATGCAGACGCTGGGGAGGGACGGCATCGTTTGCGAGCTGTGAGACCTCTATTGGCACGTGCCGTTCCTGCACAAAAACTGTGGTGGACTGGAGTACTACCACGAGAGGGGTTCATGGCACGAGATAGAGAGAGAGCTGGAGATGGGTTGGTTTTGAGCCAGCTAGAGAGAGAGACCACGGTTTGGTGTGTTGGATGGGTTTAAGGTTCGGCCTGAGAAGACTGTGGAAGGAACATGAGCAGCCGAGTTGAATGAGCTGGGTCTCTTGTGTATGAATGAGTGTATGGTCTTGTGTGAGTCTTAATGCATGTGTGTTGTGGGTTTGCCGAGAGAGAGAGAATGAGATGGCAGTGTGTGTGTAGCTCTGATTGTGCTGTGTGTGTGTGCGCTGGTGTGTCTTGGAGAGAGAGAAGCCTAGAATCTAGAGAGAGAAGAGAGCTGGGTTTGGGTGTGTGTATATGCATGGTAGTGGTGGTGGTGGTGTGCATGCCGAGAGGAGGGAGGTGGAGCTTGTGTGTGTTTGTGTTTCAGCGAGGTGCCGAGAGGGAGAGGGAGGTTTGAATTGGTTGAGATATCCGGTGTGCAGAAATAGTTGGAAGATGAGAGGTCCGGCGGGGCGGCCAAGGCGAGGCTGCCGCCCGCCGGTGAAGCGAAAATATTAGGTTCTTAACCTAGCTCTGATACCATGTAAAATAAATTGATGTATATTATTGATTGTATTGTTACAAGATTGTTGTGTATATTGTATTTTGTTATGTTTACAATGATCAAATATATAGAAGAGAAGAAGGTAGTAGGTGAAGTGGTGGGGATGAAGTGGAGGTGGTAGTGGTAGGTTAGTGTGAGGAGGTGAGTGTGTGTGGTTAGGTGAGTAGT